CTGTAAAGAGTTACAATCTCAGAAGTTCACAGGGACATTTCTACCCTGTCCTACAGTGTCTCTATGAGTTGGCATTGACTCAATATCAGTGAGTTTGGTTTTTTATTTTGTTTTTGTGGAATATTCATGTGAAAGGTGGACAATGAATAAGGAAGAACTAAGAAGAATTAATGCATTTGAATTACTGTGTTGTAAAATAATACTGAAAGACCACAGGCAGCCAGAACAATTTGTGTTAAAAGAAACACAGCCATTTTACACAATTGATGTGTGTATGGATTGTGATAAGAGTTGTATGAGCCCCTAATAAAATGATTAAAAGGGAAAAAAAGGAAGTTAAAAATATATATATAAAATTTTTAAAAATTAAAAAAAGAAATACAGCCAGAATGCTCCTTGGAAGCAAAGATGGTGAGATTTCATTTCATGAACTTTGGACATCCTAAGAGAAGTGACCAGTCCTCAGAACAGGATATCTCTCATAACTGCTAGCGTAGAAGGCCAGTGAAAGAAGAATGCAAGGACATGGACTGACACGGCAGCTACCACAATGGACTCAAACACAATGATTCTGAGAATGGCGCTGGACTAGGCCGGGTCACTGTGACTCAGAACTGACTCCACAGCACCTAAAAACAAGTCTCACATCAAGGATTAAGAGTAAGAAAGCAAGACTGTTAGGTGAAGTCGGAAAAGCTGCGAGATTTAAGCAGAGAAATATGACACCATTGAACACACACACATACATGTATCCAACTCATAATAGATCTTAATCATATTTTTAAAATCATGAACATGCTCAGCAAGAGGAAGAAGAGGAAGGAAGAAAAGAAGAAAAAGATTTTACCCAACTTAATACTAAATGCATTTATTCCTCAAAACAAACGTATGGGCGATAGGAATCTATATTTGTTTATCAGTCTCAATTTCCAGTTGCCTCTCATAACATGAGACAATACCACAATTTTAGTGTCAAAAGCTTATAAATTTCTATATAGCATGGTCTCTAATCATAAATATATCCTATTTCAACCAAAGAAAACAAAATTCTGTTTCAGTCCTGGGGGAAAAACCTGGCTGTTTTGGACTTGATATAAGACTGTCCTGCCTTTAATGTGCTATTTAAGACACTTTAAAGCAGCGGTTCTCAACCTTCCTAATGCCACAACCCTGTAATACAGTTCCTCATGTTGTGGTGACCCCTCAACCATACAATTATTCTCATTGCTACTTCATAACTATAATTTTCTACTGTTATGAACCGGGCGACCCCTGTGAAAGAGTCATTCAACCCTCAAAGAGGTTGAAAACTGCTGCTTTAAAGGGTAGTTTCATTTCAACCTTTGCTTCTTGACTTTAAAACTTAGCCCCAGATTATGCCTTTGCTCTTCATCATTTTTTAATCATCTTAAATATACTGACAGTAGCTCAATAGGGGGTTAATTAAAAACAACCATTAAAACAAACAAACAAAAATCAACCATTAAAGGGTAGAAAATTACCTAAAAATATCTAAACACTGTAGGAATAAAATAAGGATTGGGGGCAAGAGACAAAAGAAACCCTCTATAAAGAGGTTTTTAATAATGAGTTTAGTATGGTTACTGTGATAGGTAGGCTTATTGTGCCAATAAACATATGTGGGATTAACTGAAGGGCCTACCTGTCTCATGAAAGTGAGCTGCACTGAGCCATCTACACTGCTCTTTAGACTAATTAGCTGTTTATTCCTTATGGTATCTACCGTATATACTCATATATAAGCCGAGTTTTTCAGCACATTTTTTATGCAGTTTTTGTGGTAAAATTAGGTGCCTCGGCTGATATCTGGATCAGGTTATACTGGAGCATATACAGTATATCTATCTATATAGATATATATAAAACATAAGTGTCCTGGTTTTGTTTCTCTAGAGAACCCTGTCTAGCACAGTTACTGAATGAGTTGACAGAAAACAGAAGATATTTCTCTTCAATGGAACTTGAATCTGAGAATGATAAGAGCCAAATACTATTTGTTGTTGTTAGCTACCACAGAGATGTGCTCAGCTCCTGGTGACCCATGTGTAGAGAGTAGCAGTACTCTAGAGGGTTTTCAGGCTATGACTTTGAAAAATTAACAGGACTATCTTCCAAGGCACTAGGAGTAAATTCAAACCACCAATTTTTCAGTTAGTGGTTGAGCATTTAATCATTTGCACTACCCAGGAACAATAATCAACCTAGAGGACACTTATGTGGGTCTTAGCATGTTTATTTTACTTTCCAAAGACCTATAAAATTATTTTCTCAGAGTCAACAGTTTTAAAGATAACCATAAAATTATGTCAGCCTACTTATTAAAATCTCTTTAATATCACATTAACACTATCCAACAATATTTGTATGCCATCAACAATTTCTGACTCATAGCAACCCTACAGGGAAGGATCCTGTAAGACAGGGTAGAACTTCCTCATAGGGATGCCCAGTTCATAATCTGTACCAGGGACAATGAATAAAGATGACAAAAGAATTGATGCATTTGAATTATAGTGTTGGCAAGATATATTTTATTTACATATATATAATATATGTATATCTTGGACTGCCAAAAGAGTTGACAAATTTCCATACGAAGAAGTACAGCCAGAATGATCCTTAGAAGCAAGGGCATTAAGCCTTCATTTCATGTACTTTGGACATATGAACCATTCCCTGAAGATGGACAGTACCTTGGTAGATGGGTCAGTACCTTGGCAGAGGATATTAATGAATACTTACTGAATATCTTTTAAGTGCTATTGTATTAGATGTTGGATACACAAAATTAATTACAGCACAATTTTGGTTGTGTGAATTCTCTCAAGCAATTTATAATCTAATGAAGGAAGACATATTATACTTAGTATAACAGTGCTATGTTAACATTATACCCAGGGGGTTACAGGTTACAGGTTACAGGGGGTTACAAGTCACTCTTTGCTTCTCAAACCTGGCTGTGCATCAGAATCTCATGTACTCTCATGCCCTGCCCTTACTTCAGGTTTAATGAATTACAATCTCCAAGGATAAAGCTTAAGAAATATGTATTTCTAACATGTACCACAAATCATTTGGAATTTCAGCCAAGTTTGAGTAGCAGTAAGCAAGAAGTACAACAAAGAGAATGGCTGAGCATGCTTGGAGTTTATAAAATACATACATACAGAAGACGAGAGAAAATTCAGAACAATTATAATGACAAAACTAATGCGACATTCCAATCAGGATTTATTAATTTGGCATGAACTTCCAAAACAGATGACTATCATCTACATCATGTATTTAATAAATGATTTGTGGTATGAACTACCATTTTATTGAAAAATACAGGAAGACTAAATGCAAATGCTTTGAATTCCAAAACTATGGCAAAATGTTCTTTTGTATATTTTTGTAAAAATATACAAAAAAAGGAAAAGGAACAATTTAGTTACAATTTAAATGTTGTGACCAATCATTTCTCCCAAGATATATTTATGAATTACTATAAGTCTAATAATATTGTTCTCACTTGAAGATCTTTTGTAATTCATATTAAGTTCAACCATTGAAACAAAACTTTTCCTAGTGATTTAAAATTTTCACATTGCTTTTTCATAATGATTTATTACTTTCTGAATAAAAGTTTAATTTTGCACTTTTAAACCCAGTTCCAGAAAAGAGTGAGAGGGTATAAATCACCAGTAAGATGAGGATTTACCATAATAAGGCTAAATCCAAAGAGAATCTTTTCTATTGATTTCTACTTGTAAAATAACAAATTATTTAAATCCCCAATTCACCACCCAACAAGAGTTCACAGAGATGTAGATGGGTAATCGTTTGAAACAGAAATAAGCTTTTAAAAAATATTCTTTGGAAACCTAGGGATAAACTTATTAAAGCATAATATACAAAATATATTCTATTGCTGGATTTTAATTCTAAAAGGTCCCTCCAAATCTTACACTATTTAAATGCATCATAAAGGCAAGGATTCATTTATTCAAGTGAAAACTATTGATAAATTATGCATTGTGATTTCTTGGAGGTGTACATAGGATAGAGAAACAAAAGCACTTAAAAACCCAAAGTCAAATAACCACTGGCTACTACAGGATAAAACCTGTATCTAAAAATCATCTTCTTTCTACCTTCATTTAACATAGTTTTAAAAAATGGTAATATTATCTGGCTGTCATAATATCAGGTAAAATTATAGCACATATTTATATAAATTGTAATATAATGTTGATATCTGAATCATTCACTACTTCCTTTCTATCCTTTTACTACTAATGTACATATGTAGAGATATAGATATATTTATATGAAATACTAAACCCCTTCAAAGAAGATACTATAATCATCATGCAAAAGATGAGCAAACCACCTTAGTGAATTTAAATGATTTAACCAAAATCACCAATAATGTTAAAGAACGGAATTGACTGCAGCTCCTGGCTATAACTGTGTTGGTAGTAGTAAAAGTAAATCTATCACATTCGACAAACCAACTGTAGAAGACATGTAGCTGGGGGTGGCAGCAGGGGCATGCTGCTTAGCACCTAAACCCTCTCACTGTAATTAGGAAATTTCTCTTTTATGAGTCTTCATAAAAAGCAAAGTCCTCTCCCTGTACAGAAGCTGTTCCAGCCATTCTTGCAGCATGGCATGCGCTTTTGACCTAGGTTTGAATAGCACAACATTCTCTCCAAAGATTCTGACTTAAGACCTAAGACAGACACTAAAAAGCTGAAAAGCAATGGTTGAATTTTGGCAGCAGGTGGCAGCAACAACACTATTTCAAAAGGGAACCTTATCAAAACTCTGAGCAGGTATTTAATAAGTAAATGAATGACACTAATTTTTTCACCCTGTTCTCTTGATTTCTCTTTTAATATAGTTTCCTCTTATAATGTACTTTATGCAAAACACAAATAAAGCAGTGATCATGTAGGTCCATTTTTACTGAGCTTCAGAGGTAGGTTTCTTACCTGTCAGGAATACCTAGCCTCTTGACACTTCTGTACACAGAAAGAGTATTTGCAACATGCCGATAGTTAAACCAGAACCGAGATGTACACACCTAAAGTATTAAAACAAATATATTAGTTTTATGAAACAAAATAAGTCATATACTCAAAGAAATATTTCTCTTTAAGTAGGATACTGACTTACCTAAAGGAATAGAGTATCATAATTATCACTTAGAAACATCTAAGGACTTAAAGAACCCTTTCTCAAACTAAGTTCTCTGGGAAGGTCTTACATTATGTGCTATTAAATAATAAAGGTCATTGAGCTTTATAGAAAAATTAATTTGAGTGGAATTTAAACAAGTACCTACCAAATTAGTTTCTCTCAATTTCTTTGATCCTATAAAGTTTCTATTTCTAAAAGATTTAAGGTTTTTGGAGTAGAAAAATATTACTGTTATGCTCTAAAAAGATTTTAAAATTTTATGTCTGAAATGAAAAAAAAAATCATTGGATGGGCTCAGTAGTACAATAAAAATTATGACAAAGGAAACTCAATTAATTTAAAGATAAATTTATAGAAATCATGCAATCTGAAGCAGAAAGTGGGGGGGAAATTATCAGACATAATTAAATAATCCAGCATTCATGTCACTGACGAGCAAAAACATTGATGCAGAAAGAATATTTAAAGACATGGTCAAAACTTCCCCCAAATTGGTCAAAAGCACAGCTTCACAGATTTAAGAACTAACTATAAAGAACCCTAAACAGTATAAACTCAAAGAATACCATGCCTGGATATATCAAACTGCTGACTACCAAAGATCTGGGAAGGAAAAAATCTCAAAAACAACCA